CCCCCCCCCCCAGCGCTCTCGGCTGGTCCGGTGGAGATTTTCGCGGACCTTCGACTGCCCTGCCCTGCACGCTCTGCCGCGAGGACTGCAGTTCCGCCGCCGTGCATCATCTTTCTCGCACGCGCAGCAACCGAACAACGGTGCACCGGACGGGGCACCCGCGGAGGCTTCCGAACCGTCGTCGTCAAACTCTCGTTCGTGGGTTTCGTAATGCGTTTTCAACCCCGTTGTGCTTCTCGGCGGTCGATCACTCCTCCGCGAACGGGCGATACACAACAAAGGGGGTTGCGAGAAAGGCGCACTCCAAGGGGGAGTGGGGCACTGAGGCCATCCCATCCCAGGCTTTTCAAAAATTTTTCTCATACATTTTTGTCATTGCAAACCGTAAAACCGTATTGTACAACTGTATCATGACGTCAACATGAGGCGTGTATCATGATGTAGGAACGTAGTCGGACTCTGTGTCTCAGCACTAATCTGAGGAAACGACTATTATCGGTTTGTACGTAAAATGCTCCCTCCCCCCCACCGCAAGTAATCCTCTGAAGCCGCGCCTGCTGCGAGTAAAACAGCGAAACGTGCATACGGTCGTAATACGCTCCGCCGGAGCGCTTTCGCCGTCGCCGTCATTACCAGTGGTGCGCGCCGAAAGTTGTCCGATACACGAGCGTAATCGTCACCGGATGAATTTGCCACTGACGGTCGGTAACCCTAACCCGTAGAGAACTGGCTACCGGAGAACCGCACGCGGGAATGCCAAAAAAAAATGCATTTTGTATTCGAACGGTTCCAAGCGTAAGAACCGACGGTTTATGAAAAAAAAAAATAATAGTATAATAAAAATTGTGCATTTCGTGGTCATCGGAAAGGTGTAACGGACCCGGGTGCGACGAGATTGTTGACTCGTCGCTAGTTTCGAATGATCCGAATAAAACCCGTCTCGGCGTGCGAAGACATCGAGTTCGCAGCCGTGACAACGGTATCGAAAAGCTTTCGGATTGACCGGGAGCAAGCGAATAACAACTTTTGACCGTACACACTATTTTACGTACGCATCAGTGGGGTTTTGCTAGAAACGTTACCGAATTTCGGGAAAAGACCGTTAGAATTTCGCCAAGGAGTGTAGTAAGGATTGTCGAGTGCATAAACCCCAAAACGCCATTAAAAATACCATCGGGGACCGGGGGTGGAAAAATAGAGGTTTCGCTTGAACAATTTCGCACAACAATGCCCAACGTACTATGTACCGGCGATGGAGTTACTACAGCACTTAGCGACGGTACCTGTACGCAACGCTACACGTTATTACTTTTCCGTTGCCTAGTCGTAAGCTCACAAATGTTTATTCTTCTATTCCCCCTTTTTTTCTTTTTCTTTATCGAAATGAAATTATTGTTGGTTTGTCAGAGTTTCGATCGTCGCTTGCAGATCAAAAGTACCTATTCTGTCCTAGGACATTTGTCGGCGTGCGAACACGAGCAGATGTCAACTCCATGGCTCCATAAACATAGTTAACACGACGAGTTTGATCTGAAACCGACGCCCAAAAATGTCCAAGTTAAGGATGTCCGATGTATTAGGAGGAATACGTGTAACGCTCGAAGGAAGTCTGCCCAAAGTCGACCAACGGAGTACGTAGGTTATTGAAAATGTTGTAAATAATTACAAACGGAAAATCAAATTTTTCGCTGTTCAATGAATAATACGAAAAAAATAATAATATTTAGCTGTGATCGAAATTGTAAAAACGCTTTGCACGTCAGAATATGTATATAAATATGTATATATACGTTAACGGGACTTTCACGTAAACCTTACGTGTGATCCCGGGACGAACATTTATACCCCAATGAATATTGACCAAACGTAGCTTTTACCGCAGACATATTTACATGTATACGATACTATCGTATATTATATTTTTGAGGGGCTCGCCCAAGAATAACCGTATACAATATTGGCAATAACAGCTTTTTAGGTGATGGCGATTAACATTCGATGTCGTCCACTGTTTATTGGTGAAAACTATTAAGATCCTCTTGAAAATAAAATCTGGGGACGAACTCGGAGTTCCAAAGGCGGACGACACGACCCAGGGAGGGGCGTTCTTCAACGGTTATTCTCGGGCACAGATCGCGCCAACACGGTTCACGTTTCGGGCGTGTAACTTCAACGATGTCTCAAACTTTTTAACGAGCACGTGTCTAGACCTGCGGCAGTACTGTGTTCGATTTGTTGTTCATGGTACGCGCGCGAGGCTCAAATAGGGCTGTTCGATTATTTTTTTTTTTACCGCTCGATTGTTAATTTCACGTTTTAATCGATTACTTCTATCGAAATCGAAGATTAATATTCAAACCAAAAATTCGGTTTTTTAACGACTGATTAATCAATATTCGAATTTTTTAATATCTGAATAACCGATTAATCGGTTTTTTTTTTTTTTATTGACTGATTAATCGATTGATATTTTTTAATGACCGATTAATCGACTTTTTTACAACGGATAAATTGATTCCTTAACTTCTACACAATTTTCAGCAAGATTTGCAGGATGAAATGTTGATGTAGATGTCCACTTTTATAATATTATCCTTAATACATATCATTGAACTCGGCACATCATATTAGCATTTAGCACAGATTTAAAATTTAAGTATGTAATCAGATAATCTAACATTATATATATATAATATTAATATAAATATTATATATATATTGATTAATCAGAAATTCGATTATTTCGATTATATAACGATTAATCGATTAATTCGAAATAATCGAATAGCCTTAGGCTCAAACAGGGGCGTATTTAGATTTACTTCTGGGGGGGGGACGTTTAGAATTTTTCCTTTAATTCAGGCTTAAAATGTACAAGAAAAAAATGTTTGGTAATATTAAATCAGGTGAATCATTAATATTTCTGGGTTTTTTTTAATCTAATGCCGAGTCCGCTTAGAATCGACTTTTGTGTAGTTTTTTTTTAACACCCGTTTGTGTTTTGAGAGTTACGCTCGTGTTTTATTTGATTTTTCATTAAGTATGCACCCGGCAAAAAGCCCAATTCGGTATTCACGGCTACGTGTAATTTGATTTCATTATGAGATGATGCACATTAAAAAAATTTCAAACGTGTATCTCACATACAATCGATTCGTTAAATATGGATTCTGGGTGAGAAGAGGACGAAAACGATTGATACACAACCCCGTACGGGGTTCGGCAAAAGGTACGCAGAGTGTATTCGGTGGAAATATCAAAACGAATTTTTCGACGAAATTTATTTTTATTTCCATAATATATTTTTATATATATATATATTTATATATATATATATATATTCACACATACACGTTTACATGCGCGACAATGGCATACACAGTAATATAATATAATATACACGTTAAAATAATAGTTTGGTATACATCGCGCGCCGTACGCAATATATATTTACATTTAATAATAATAATAATAATAATAATAATAATAATTATATAGGTAATAATATTTTTGAGAAAAACAAGAATAATACCTAATAGAAAGAAAGAAAATGAATATAACACCAAGTACACATTTATCTAAATAAGTTTCTACACGCTATATCGTATTATTTTGTTTATCATCGTCGGAAAACGATATTACGAGTACACATCGATATATGTTTCTTAACACGTTTAAGTTGTACAAAACGATAAAAGTAACAAAAAGAAAAAAAAAAGAACGCATAATATTATAATGTACGCCTACACACGTCGAAATGCATAAATCGTACATATAAATATGTATATAAATTTATATATATATATGTATATAACAACACATAAAATTGTTTTTCTTCTTCAGCACACCTTAATAATATTTATAATAATAATAATAATAACAATACGAGTTAAGATAATTTAAAATACCGTTATAGTGATACACAAACGTCTGGAACATATAAACTTAAAAATACGAACGGAAAACAACGTTTTTTTTTTTTTTTTTTTAAACGCTGTACTTAAAAACTCGCCGCGTACAGGCGGTGGAAAACGTCACTAAGCGTTGGCACGTTAGAGCGCGCGATCCTGTGGCGGTAGTACGGATTAGGGGGGGGGGGCTTTTCCGACCGAGAACGCGCGTTAGCGTGCCAAGACGAGCGGCGCGACGCGGTCGGGTTACGGGAGAAGCGTGCGAGAACAGCCCACCGCGATCCAGGGCAGGTCAACGCGATCGTACGATAACGTTTCGTTCCCGGCGCACGGCGGGGTGGGTCGGTCGCGTTTTGGTTTTTAATTGACTCGGTGGCACCCATCGTCGTGTTGGTGCACACCCGATAGTGGTATCGCTGCATTTTTTATTCAATTTTCTCCCCCCCACACCGTCCTGTATCTTTTTTGAAATCAATAACTATTGTTTTTTTTTTAGCTGAACACGGACGAAAGTCGAATCGTAGTCAAAGAGTCGAACACGGTGTTCCGGCCGAAGTCCGCCTGACCTAACCGGATCGGGACTTTGGAATATTCGATTAGCACGAAGTCCGAACTTAAGCAATCGGTTATCGTCTTCGTGCGAGACGTTTTTACGTGTTTCATAACGGTAACAAACGATTGGTGCGGGAGAAAAAATTTCAAAAAAAAAAAAATGCAGTTCAATACCTGTCGACATAGCGCAGATCGGCTAATAACAATTATCACAGAAGATAAAGTATTTTTTTTTTTTTTTTTTTATATCTATCAATAAAATATCTTTCTGCGCTGTAATAAAAATTCGTTCGATTTTAAAATTTAACCGCAATATAATTTTCTAGAACAATAATAAGGACTAAAAACAAAATAATATTCTCGGAGGACTAATAATAGTGTCCAACGCGTTTTCGTCGGCGATATTTATGTACAAAAAGAAACGGAAAGATACGCTAATCGCATTCCCATTCGACTAAGAACTAAATGAATAATAAAAAATAAAAATACAATACAATGCAGTATGTCGGGGGTTCGACACGATTTCGCCTACAGACGGGAGGATAGGGCTGGCCGTATCCGCACATCACACCTATGTATCAACTGCATTTTCTCGCGTCTGGTTTTGCAACTAATATTTCCGACAAAGGATTCTCTCAGCCTTCAAAAATACCTGTGCGAATACGGGACGAGGAGGGAATTCCGTAAGAGAATAAACGGAACGTGTTTATGATACGAAACACTACGTCGGTTACCCGTGAGAGGGGTTACACGCGTATGTTTATTCGTCGTAACCGAAAACAGATCGATCTGAAAGCACTGCTGCAGTCTTCAAGACGTATATCATATCATAATATACGTGTATTATTTTACATTATTTACATCGTTAAAGGCTTCTATATTTTTGTTTTTTGCTCTACTGTTTTTCTGTGTGTATGATATTTGAAATGAGTTTTGTTTTCCGTACGATTTTACCGTGCGAAAGTTTTGCGAAAGATTGGCATATTATTTCCCCCTTTTAACGAACATCCGTTAAGTAGTATACCTGTCCAGTTCGGTAATCCGTGAAAAGGGTTAAACTTTTGACTTGTAGAAGTGTGCACGATATGAGAGTATGTAAAATTCGTTTCGAAATGATCACACGTTATTTTACACGTGGCACGCGCATATGTCGAACTACTCCGGTATCTATGCGAACGTTAAAAAAAAAAACGGTCTGTTGTATCCTGTTACGATGCTTTATGGGTACTACTATGCCTATTGTATGTGTTTACTACGGTTGTCCAAATAGCGTATCGATAAAACACTACAAATATTATATCAGCCTTTGTTCCCCGGTGGGGAGGGAGCGGAGGGCCGTGTTCAGGCGGCGGCCATTACACGTGCGTGGCCAGCGCCTGCCGCTTGGCCATGGCTATGTGATAGTTGGGTCCGACGGGCGGGGGCGCAGCCGCGGCCACGGTCTTCCGCTTGTTCTTGACCGCACTGTAGGGCGGCGGCTCCGGGCGCCCGTACACGTCGTACTTCTGCAAGGGCTGCTGTTGCTGCTGCTGCTGGTGCCACTGCGCCGGGTTGGACCGCAGGTACGGGTTGCCGTACGTGGCCGAGTACTGGAGCAACGTGGCCGGGTCGCCGCCGTTCCTGGCGGCCGGACCGATGATGGCCGACGGGTCTGACGACGGCTTCAGCGAGTGCGTCGACGCCGACGACGTGATCATCGTCAGCGATGGCATCGGGTTGAGATCGTACAACCGGTCCGCGGTTATATAACCGTTGCTGCTGGTCGGCCGGTCCTGAAATCGAAACCAAATAATTATGATGCGATACTCGGTTGTGGTGGTGGTGGTGGTGGTCGTGATCAGTGTTTAAAGTTTGAAATATTTCACAAAAACGTGAAACAATGAATTTATTTTTAATTACTGTTGTTGTGTATTTATTTGTTTGAAAAGATAATGTAGGGCTATTATAACGTTTACTACGAAACTTGGTTTGATTCCCCGGTATTCAGTTTATCATCGATTTACTGCGATTGGACAACAGTAAAAAATGTAACTCGTCAACTAAACCACATTTTAGATTGTTGTAAATACCTTAAAAACATTAAAGATACGACTCGTTCAACTGATAAGTATGTCGTATAAAATTTGTATAGAATTTTTTATTTTAGGTATAATTTTTTTTATAAATCATCATACTAATTATACTATATACCTAATTATTTAATACATTAATTACATGTAGACTACAGGTACCTACATTCTAAATATCTTAACTAAACTATATTCTTATTTAATTTTTTTTTGTTCCTTTAAAAATTGTAAATACTATAAATGTGTAATATCGATGAAAACGATCACTAATAGATCTTATTAATTTGTTCTACTTAAAAAATGTGCAATATACATAAAAATTAAACTTGTATAAAAGAAAAACGATTTTTTTGTATAATACTGAAATATTTCACAATCTTGTATTTCATAAAATTTTCATACGCTAGTTGGAATACAAAATTGTCTTACCGCCGCGCAACGACGTTGTACGACAGAAGCGAACTGCCGAGGAGGAGGTACACGATCGCTGAAGGCTGAGTAGGCGCAAGTTAAATGTACCCGCGTGAGATTCGGGATGATGACCAGACCGCGTGCCGGGTCAAAGGGTCAATGGTGGTTCGGCGGAGGAGGTCGGAAAAAATAATGGAGGACGGTTATAGTGTTACCGTGGTGCATGTTAGTGTTCTAACTTACAGCGATAGGCTTATAGTTGCTTGACGGGCTGCTATCGCGGGGGAGCTGAATACAGTATGTGCAAACGAGTAACGCTACGAGGGACACAGCATATTTGTACGCTCGAATTTAGAAACCATCATGATGTCCATAGCTGTTACGGTCACATGTACGAGATGCGTTTTGAAAATCGATAGTTATTAGAGCTAAATCGAACTATGAACGAAAAAGGTTAGTTGAATTTTTGTTCGCGAGTAGAATGGCGGTTTATGTGCGGGACTGCTGTCGCGCGGTGTCGCACGAATCGGGCACCACGCGTTAATCCACTAGCGTTAAAATATGTGAAACCACGTACGGAGATACCACGAATAAAACGGAAATCTAATCTTTTGCGAGTAACAGAGTACGCGCGGAAACGCGATTAAGTCCCGGTAGTCGAACATTAACGGTCGGGTATAAATCGTAGGAATTGGTGATTATTTCTGGGGGGAGGGGGAAGGAAAATTCGAGAGGAGTATTATCCACTCTTTCCTCTAGTATCTTCACGGCGAAAACAACATTTAGGCTGCATGTGATATGGAAACGAGAAAAACTTAATGCGTAATTCCCACTTTCAACAGCCAAAGCAGAGGGTTCTTTCAGTACCACGAATAGAATAGTGAATAAATGAAAAAAACCGAACGGGACAAAAAACATTGTAATCCCGTACGAAAATTAGTAAAGAAGAACCTTCAGAACTGGATAAAGTTACTGAAGTAGTGCACATTTTGTGCGCACGTCAAAAGCAGCAGCGAATTCCGTTAATTAAATTTATTATACTGTTTTTTTTTTTTTTACTAACAATGATTTTCCATGGCATATGGTGGAATGTCTGAAATAAGCACCGATAGAAATGACGTAAAAGAAAATGTATTAAAATCAAAAATCAAGTTACTATTATTATAAATTATACCATGTTGTCGATGAGCTACATTATAGTACAATAATGAAAATGTTGCGACTAAAAATGTCGCACCACAGACCTACATACGGGTCTCGATGTTTTCGCATACAACAGCTTCCGGTCGATTAATTTCCGAAATCGGATCCCGGACCAAACGCAATAAATCTCGATGCTGCTTACTCTACCGCCGGTACCAGGCGCGTAGCTAGATATATTAAAAGGGGGGGTGTTATTTTCAAAATTATACGCAACAAAATAATTTTGTGACGTATACTTTATTGTACAAGCATACCAAACAAATTAGTACATTATACATGAATATATATTCGTATGTAATGTTCTACTTTATGAGAAAGTATTTAAATATTTTATTAACATTTCAAATGTACATTTTTGCCATATGTACCTATTTTACATCGCGCATGATACGACATAAAACTACGGCTTTATTTTATTAGACAAAACGGTATAATGGGAAGTTGGATCCCGGCTTTAAATTATTTTTATGTATATATTTCGTTATGATAAAAATGTTTTCATCAAAGTTTATGATGAATTTTTACCTTTATAAGACTTAGATATAACACGGTTAAAGAGGGGTGTTACTACACCTGTAACACTCCCTTTGGCTACGCTCCTGGTCGGTACAATAGATTAATAATTACATCATTAATGGAAAATTTTAATTTTAAAATCATAACATCGTCTTTTGACATTTCGTCCGATCGTGTTTGGTTAATATTTCCGTCGCTTCGACTGCGAAACGATGCATAAATCATTTTTATGTATGTACATATTATGTACACAACGTGTGCGCGTCCGTTGCTCGTCGACCATGTCGCGATATTCGTAGTACGTATGTATATACTACGGATATTCCTCTTTTGCAGCGCGACCTTAATTGGTTAAGTTGGTTTACGTTTCGTAAAAGGATATCGACCGGTATAATATAGTGTAATGTCTTTTGCGTTTCCCGTTCTCGGATCGTTATTATTTCCGCGCCAGTTCCATCACCATTATTTTCTCGTATTTAACCGTCGTCGTATTGTGCGGGACGTGCGCTGGCGTCCATCGATCGAGGACTTTCTAACGAGGATTTCGTGTGTTACCACGCGGTGACGCCTTGATCAAGCGAGATGTTTTCTGCAGCCAATGGCGTGGTAGTTATTTGAAATTTCAGGGCAAAACAATAATATTCGATCCGGGACACGTGCTGCACCTTTTTCCGAAAACCCGTGGTAAAACTAGCGAAACCAGGAAAAATGCGGCTAACAAATGTGAATTTTTCGAAAACTGCGTTAAGATCGCGGAGAGGAAAAATAAATCGGTCAAAAGTATGATGACAACTGAACGACGAATAGACAGAACGCGCGTGTCTTTTATCGCACCTATAAACTTTAAAAATAAATATTTGTTTGCAATTTTCTTTCCTCATTATTTCGAATCCCATTTAAACAGAAAATAATAAGATATCGCTACAAACGTAGAATATAATATATTATTATATTCATTCTACAAAGTAAAATTTATATGTTGCTAAGCAAATAATATGGAATACTTGTAAACGTATAAAATAAAAATCATCGTCATCGACCTCAGGGCTCTGTTCTTCTTTTAATGATAGATACCATCCCAACATACTTACAATAAGTTAGTCATTTTTTTATTCTAGACAACATATACAAGAAGTACTAGAAATATATGGCGAAACAACATTTCTTGGGTCAGCTAGTCTACATATAATATAAAAGTATTTTTATATGTCATTGGATACTTCTCTATTCTTTAATAAAAAAAAAAAAAAAAAACCAATAACCCGTGTATAATTATTTAAACTAAAATATTAACATTAAATACTTTGATTTGTATACGTTTCCTTTTTTCACCGTCGGTACGAATCATAAACGTATTTTTAGTCATCGAGGATTTAATTTTTATTAGGTTTAAAACGTATACGAATACGTATGCTTTGTACTATACGTTTCAGCCTTGATTTATGTCGACGCGTCTTAATGTCATTTGAAACGTCCGTCGTCGTGCCTGTCGTGCACTTAGGAGAGAAAACGAAAACGCGCGACCGAGTGCTGCGCGGTGCACGCGGTTCCGGGCCGCGAAAAGTTGAAAAAAAAAAAAAAAGTAAAACAACGGCAACAGCGCCAATAGCGTGCGAAGAAGCCCCGCCAGGTAATATCGCGTTCTTTATCTTCTCGTCGTAGGATTCCGTCCCCGTCCCCCATCTCCCCTCAACGATGGAATTCGAATCGCGCGTGACACGCCGCACGTACGTTACCGCGCGGTTTCCGTTCCGAAACTTTTACGTCCGGCCCTGCGCTTCCCCCACGCGAACCGCGCGAAGGGAACTTTCCGGCAGCCACAGCTGTCACCTCGGACGGGGTTCGAAAGCTTACGGCGTTATCGCGAACGCGCGGCCCGCGAGAACGACGATCGGAGAGGGGGGAGAGCGTCGCGCTTTCAGTGAAAGGGTTGCGGCCGGACGGGGGCGATCGTGGCGCGACCGGAACGCGACGGCAGCTCTATATGGGACGGGGGAGAGGTGCGTGTGCGCGACGCGTGCCGATCGGTCGATTAACGGTTTGCAGGGCGCGGGGAACGATAGAAATAATAACCCGACCGGGAACGGATGCACGTCCAATGTCGTCTGGATCGGACTGCCGGCGGGCCGTGATCAACGTGCGTCGTTAATTGTGTCCGTCTCCTGGCGCGCGTTAAAACTGTCCAGGCGGTCGGTAACACGGTTAGGTTGCAATCGACATTTCGTGCACCGGCGGGCAGTGTTCAGACTTATCTAGATAAATTCGTTTTTGTGCAATAAAAAGAATTCCATATTTTTATTAAAAATTCACTTTTTTGATAATTAATACATTGAATTCGAATTGTTAAATCATCTTATTAGTAAGAAATTGCATGTTCATAATAACATTATATATTAGGTATTATTTATTATTAATCTTTTCGTTAGAGGCCCGGAACTCGGTGATCAAATATAGAGTATACCTAAATTCATTGTTATGTTGTGTGTTGGTGACTCGTCGACCTAACGGTTATGCCCTATCCTAGCAAATATTTAAATGACACCCCTGCTTTAAAATAGGTATTAAAAAAAAAA